CCTAAAGAGGCCACAAAACAGCCCCGAGGAGGCCCCACACCGGTCCCAAAACGGCTACCGAGAAGCTGCGAAACTGCCTTCACGACGTCCCCGACATGCCAACCACGAGATCCAAACCAAACGCCCATGAGGCCTCTGACCCACCACCCAGGGCACGGTGGCGGGAGCAGTGACAGCACTTGTGCACAGCCTGTTCTGGCGGGAGCCTTCCAGAACACGCTGCAGGAGGAGGAGGAGGAGGAGGAGGAGGAGGAGGAGGAAGATCAGGAGGAGAGAGAGCTGAAGTGGGAGGAGGAGGAGGAGGGGGACGAGGAGGAGGAAGAGGCCTCCCAGACAGCTCCAAGATAGCTGAAGAGGCTTCCAAGAGGGGCCCTGGGCGGCCCACGAGGGCCCCAAGGCGGTGCCTGAGGCGCCCAAGACGGCCCGAGAGGGCCCCAAGACGGCCCCAAGAGAGGCCCAAGAAGGGAAACACGAACCGAGAATCCGAGCTTTCTACCCCGAGAGGCTCTCGGGAAGTCCCAAGAGGCCCCCAATCGGATCCAAGAGGCCCCAAAGAAGCTCCCAAGAGGGCCGACGAGGTTCCAAGAGATCTCCCAAGGTGGCCCCAAGAGGCACAACTCATTGTTTTTCGATTGGGCTTTGACGGGTTTTAATTTTTTCGGCCGTTTGGCATCCCGATGCTCCAAGACGGCCCAAGAGGCTTCCAGTACCGCTCCCACATAGAGGAAGAGGCCTCCAAGAGGGCCCCAAGACGGCCCGCGAGGGCCCCAAGACGATGCTTGAGGCGCCCAAGACGGCCCGAGAGGGCCCCAAGAGCCCCAAGAGAGGCCCAAGAAGGGGAACGCGACCCAACAGCAGAGCGGTCACCCCACAAAGCCCACAGGAGGCTGCAAGAGGCCCCCAAGTGGTCCGACGAGGACCCCAAAAGCTTCCCGAGGGCCTAAAAGAGGCCCCAAGGAGACGTCCAAGAGGCTTTAAAATAGCCCAAGAGTGCCCTCGATGCGTCAAAACTGCTTCCAGTAGGCCCCCAGGAGGCTTCCGGATTGCCTCAATCTGGCCGCAGGCGGCCTCAAGTCGGGCCTCCACGCAGCCAAGACGGCCAATGACGGCTTCAGATTGAAGAACCGATGCCCCCAAGGGACCCTCAGACGCCCCCCCAAGAAGCACCCAAGAGGTGCCTCCAACAGCCAGTTGACGAAGCATGCGGAACACCCCCGAAGCTCCTCAGATGCCGTCGCGCACCTGTGCTTGATAGCGTTGTCCAAGATCGTCCAGCACCCCCCCAGGGGCCCGAAAACAGCTGCCCGCCCCTCCATGGGAGTACCGGGGCTCATTTTCGCTGTGTTTTTGCAGGGTTTCGGCGTCCCGGGCCTCGGAGGCCGCCGCGATGGTCCCGGACATTTTCCAAATCCTCGGCGCGGGCTCCAAGACCATTCCGCAGAGGGCTCCAACAGGCTCCAGGGCAGCCCAAGAGGGCTCCAAGACGGCTCCAGGAACGACTGCAGGGTCTCATTTTCTTGTGTTTTCTGCAAGACGGCTCCAGGAAGACTGCATGTCTTATGAGGATGGCTTCCGCCTCTTGCCCCGAGCCGGTGGCGAGGCGCTGGAATGCAGCGGCGTTTTGGGGTTTGGCAGTGGTTTCATCGGCGCTTGGAGGCGCGGCCTGGCGGCCGCGCGGCCCCGCGGGGACGGCTATGGGCCTGCCTCTGCTCTTCCAGCGGACGGCCCCGCAGCAGGCATTTCCGCCGCGGCGGTCGCTGGCGAGACGATCGCCGCCGCTCGCCTTGCCCAGGGGTCGGCATTTGCACGGGTGGGCGCTTCAATCTTGACGATGGTCCCAAGAATAGTGGAAACTTGGACTTGGGCCCATGTGTTTGGCGGGTGGATGGCCGCCTTGTCCACGGCGAAAACGCCCCTGGCCGCGTTGCCCCGCCCGACGCGCTGGAATTCGCAGCGCCGCATCATGGGCGAGAGGATCTTGGCGAGGCGCGTCTGGGCGGCGCTCTGCGGCTCGATTCCTGCGACGCGGTACTTCGCATTGGCGGGCGCGTCGTCAGTTCCCCGTTGTTTGCTTCGCGCCCTGGGTGTCGGGCTTGACTATGATGCCCACTCTTCTGTTCGCCCAGACTGCGCCGCGCACTTTGTGCCTCATCGCGGTGTTGAACGCTTGGTGCAGCATGGCCTTCCGACCATCAATGCACCGCGGCAGCCGACGTCAAACCGGTCGCTTCTTTGCCCCGGGGTGGAGAGGACCAGCTGGTCGTCGATTTGCTTTGCCCCGAAGGCGGCTGCGAGTCTGCGCCCTCGGACCGCTGCGCCGCGGCGCCGCGGAAACCCCGTTGTTTTGCATTTGCGTCGCAGTGCGCCCGCGAATGCGTCCGAGGGGTCGTCGCCGATGTGTGCGCGAGAGGCGTCTCCTTTGGCTGACTCGCGGCGTTCCTTCGCCCGTCGCCGCGCCCTGCCTGTTCCCCCCGTGGGAAGAGGCCGCCGCCGATGGGCGCTGCGCGCGGCGCCTGAGCTCGAACGCAGGCGCGACCGCAACAGCGTCAGCTTCGCAGATCACGGCGCAGATCCTGCCTGCGTTGTCGGCCGGGTCGAGAGCCACTTAGGCGACGCGTTGCAGGCGCTGTATTTCGTTTCGCTCGAGCTGGCAAAGGGCCCTCTGAACATGTCCTGGCGTGGCTTGGCGACCTCCTGGGTCATCCGCATTGATCGGGCCGAGAATTTTGAGCGTTAGAGGTTCGTCGCGTGTTCGGATCTGCTGTAGCAGGCGGTCGCCTTCCACTAGCGTGCGAAGTGAGGTGCTATTGGTGCGAGACGTTCCGTCGCCCTCTCTGTCGGGCGCGGCGGTCGCAGGAGCGCCCCAGCTCTGCGCATCCAGGTTGATGAGAATGGCCCTATCGTTGCCCTGGTGGGCATCGGAGTCGACCGTGGCCCCCGGCGGGCCATCGCGGTCTGAGGTCCTTTTGTGGCGAGAGGGTATCGCAGCATGGCGTGGCTGATCATTTTACCGCACAATATCGCAAGCCCGCGCTGGGCCGAAGTTGGTCGGAGCGGTTTCGCTGGTAAATGGCGTCGAGATCGGTTTGATGCTTGTGGGCGAATGGGATGCACCCAGTGACTCTTCGGTTGACGTCACCGCTTCTCTGTAGCGCGGCGACGCATCTATCCTTGCGACTGAGGTTGGGGTCTCCGAGCCGTTAAGGGAGCTTTCGGGCGGCCTTTACCCGGTTGTTTGGGTTGCCCTGGTCCAGAGGGCGCACGGCGGGGACCTTTCAGGGCCATGTCGCGCGCGCGTTGCCTGGAGGGGTGCAACACATACCAGCCCCGTGCGATTGATTCGGGCATGTCCCATTGGGCTGAAGGGCGCCGAAGTTCGCGCTTCCTGACTTCGCTCCGAGCGCACGCATTCGAGCCGAGACTGAAGGGGGGCAGAGAGAGAGAGAGAGCGATGGACTGGAGAGAGGTACAGAGGGACAGGGAGAAAGAGAGAGAAAGAGAGGGAAGCGAGAGAGACAGAGAAGAGGGGAGAGTGAACGAGTTTGAGAAAGAGAAAGGACACGAAAAGACAGCGAGAGGGAGAGAGCGAGACAGAAAGGAAGGAGTAGAGAGAGATTGAGAGAGACAGAGCTGGATTTGTATGTTCTGACAGTCCAAGGAGCAATTCGTCACCACCACTTCTTGTCGATAGTGAGGTAGCGAAATTACCAGTTCGAGGTCGATGTCCATGTCTCACGCGCATCCAGTACGTTTATGCGCATCATCGTCCCCATGCTGTATGAATTTTATCATTCGCATGTGTTTCGTCCTTGCGTCCTCTTCTAGTTATGACCCTCATTCCTCCTCTTCCAAATCTTGATTATCGTCCCGGCCTCCTCCTCTTCTTACGCTTCGGCATTATCAAACCCTGGTTGTCCGTTCATCCGTTTCCCCATCCTCCTGCAAGCGATGCTGTTTTTTTGTTGCTGCTGCAGCTCATCCCTCTCATTCGGTTCGGTATCTTTTATCTTCGCGTGTTCAGTGCCTAGGGCCATTCGAACTCAGACTCGCCCATGCGCGTGCCCATCCATTGGTATCCACACCCACGTGTAGTCAGACCTTCTCGTACTCAAACTCACTCCTCCCCTGACTCGTTTATACCCAGTTCGTCGCGTTCAGACCCACGCGACTTTATACCTACACAGTCCAGACCACAACGAGCTGGTAGGCATCCCACTCGGGCTTCTCCAGGGTTCTGACCAGTCGTAATGCTGGTAAACGAGTACAACAAGTATCCGCCCCCCGCCCCAGAGGGGGGGCCATTTCATATCGTGTATGGCATACGAATACAATCTGGGGGGCGGAATTCTTATTTTAACGCCACCCCCTCTCCCTTTCTCCTTCGCCGCATCCTCGCAACAGTAGGGCCGCATTGCAGGGGGCAGGAGTTCCTAGCAGGAGTAGGCCCGCATGCATTGCAGGGGGGGCGCGCCGGGTCACCAACCTCCTTCCTCGCCGCATGGCAGGGCTTGGGGTCGTCAGTGACAGTCCGAATCGCCACCCCCGCCGCTCCGAATTGTCATCCTTAGGGCCCCTCCTGGCCTCCCAAACGGCCTGGGAGCCAGCCCGAATTGTCCGCCCACCGTGGGTCGAGCTCTTTGGCTTGCCATCCTGGGGGCCAGCGGAACCATTTTTGATTTAAGGTCCCCCTTTAAATCATATTTTAATGGTTCACCTCCATTATGACGTGGGTCCGTTCGCGACCAGATTGATGCGGCCTCTCCTGTAAAACGCTTGTTTAGGGGACGGAGGGGCGTCTTTCTGCACAGTCTCACATCCACCGCGTGCTAGCAAGCATCGCGTCCAGGCCTCCCAAACGGTTCCCACTAGTTCGCGCCACCAAACCGCGGGCATCGTACAGCAGACTCTTCCTGTCCTCATGATTGGCACGCGGTCGTCGCAATCGTTCCCCATTTCCGCACCCGCTGGCCTCGCCTGTTCTGCCTCCACGTTCGCTCCAGGCAACATGGTCGCGGCTCCTGGTCTGGTGAGATTGAGCTCCGCCGGCAGCGCGGCGGCGGCCCACATGCCGAGGCTCGGTGCTCTCCCTCGTATCTCCCAGCTTTGACGATCAGTGCAATATCTCCCATGTGATTTACTTTCTCTGATTCCGTTGCGTGAGTAACCCTTCGTCTGAAGAGCAAGGGATGATGATGACGATGATGATGATGGTGGTGATGATGATACTTACGATTAGGACCATGCTGATGCTGATGCTGAAGCTGACGATGGTGCCGAAGTTGAAGCTGATGCTGATGATGATGCTGATGGTTGTGATGGTGATGATAAGGATGTTGATGTTGATGATGATGATGATGCTGATGAATATGGTGATAATGTTGATGGTGATGATGATGATGACGGTGGTGGTCTTGGTGTTGATGGTGGTGATGTTGAGGATATTGATGATGGTGATGGTTATGACGATGATGATGACGATGGTGAACATGATGATGAACATGATGATGAGGAGGAGGAGGATAAGGAGGAGGATCTTGATGATTCTGACGATGCTGGTGATGATGGTGATGATGGTGGTGACGATCAAGATGATGAAGCTACGTCCCAATACTTCCTAGAATTCCAATAGTGCATGATGTTTCACGCGGGCTGCAGAAACGAGGGCCTCCATATACTCTGTAGTTGTTTGAAACGTATCTTGAGCCAATCGTGTCGTGGCATCATTATCGTCCGATGTTGCTCGGTAAATGATGCTGGCGGAGTGTCATCAGGAGCAGGCGTAGGCAAATCGTCGTCTATGGCGGAAGTCGTCCGAAGCTGCAGGGCATTGGGCGAAGTTTGGGACCAAGAGCCGACCAGGGCGGGGTCCCGACCGTGTGCTCTCATCGAAGTCGGCCCACGCCCACGCCCCCTTCTCCTCCATGAGCAGGAGGGCGAGGAGAAATAATGATTGGAGGGGGTCAGGTAACAGGAACCCGTCGAGGGAGTCTGGAGGGCCTCTTTGGTCACTGTGGGGCCCTCCTGGGCAACCTTGAAAGCACATTCGCTAAATGTGAGGCCGCTTGTCCCAGCTTGGATCGTACGGATGACGTCATATGGCGTCGAAAACCGTTTTGAAGGCCATGTTTGGCAAACATGGCCGTCTTGGAGGCAGGCTCTGTGCACATGAGTTGCTGAGGGCGACGGAGTGTTTGAATACATTCATCACGCCAAGCACCCTCAATGGCAAGTACCGGGGGCTGGCGGATCTAGTGACCTTGGGCGCATCGTGCCACCGTGCTTGGTCCGTGAAGAAGAGGCCTCTTGAACCCCAAGAGGCCACGTGGGGCATCTCTTGGGGACCTCTTGGGGGCCTCTCTCTGCTGGGGGCCTCTCGAGGTTCCAGGGGCCTCCAAGGGCTTTGGAGACCCCGGGGCACCTCAAGAGGAGGATGCGGATCGATGTTTGTGAAACTGCCTGCGGTAAATCCCGTCACCGCGCCAGCGCAGAAGCGCAGCAGGGAAGAGGTTGAGTGTGATATCCTTCTCGGTTCAGCTCCTTGTCCCTTCTTCTCCCCGCTTCGAAGATCAGGACGGGCGCGCGTCTGAAACTGCACCTCATTCTCCCCTTCCTCCCTGGAATGCTTGCGTCCTCCACGAAGACATGTCCCCTCCCTGCCCCAGAGAGTTCGAACTGTCGTGGGTCTTGAACTCCACACACCTACTCGCTTTCTTGCCCAGACAGGGTGCCTCCCCATCAACTGACTGACTGACTGAAGCCGTGCATCCCTGGCGGACGCGTGGGCAAATGGAGTGAAACAACCCATGCGCTTTGCGCCAGCCCTGGCACGGCTCTTGGGCACCACTGCCGCCAGAGCCGGATTTCCGGACGGGCGTGTGGGCAGATACGTGCGCAATTTGCACCGATTCGATTGCGAGGCAGAAGCGAAACTCAACACAGTAATACAGAGCGCCCGACTGTGAATCAGAAGCAAAAAAAGCGCCCCACGACTGTGAAGCACCATGCCTACTTTTTCTCACACGGCTAATCATCGAGAGCCAGGCCTGGGATGACATACCCCGCTGTCGCAGGACAGCTGATGCGATACGAAGTCCCACGAACACGTATCGGCTCCACCTGTAAGGACAAGAGGGGACAAGGAGGACGAGAAGGAGGAGAGGGAGAGAAGGAGAAAGAGGGGGCGGAGGGCAAATTGCAACAGTGTGTAAATTGACGTCGCCCATTGCTGTCTCGGGCGGCCCCGGCGCCTGCGGAGGGTCCAGCTGTTAGGGGCACAGTCGGCGTCGCACACTAGTTATTTAACTAGTGACGCGTCGCTATGGGAAGCGATTTTCTTATATAGGTCTGCGTAAATTCGCGGACAGAGGCTTCGAGCCGGCGATGTCTTGCACAGTAGCATTCGAAATTCTGGAAAAGTAGGAAGGTGGTATCCTCAGAATCTTTCTCAAGCTCTTGCAGTGGAAGGCGTCCATCCTGTCGTTGTCTTTTCAAGGGCCACAACGAAACAAGCGAGTACAACAGTTTGTTCAGCACGCAAGAAGAATATATTTGAAGCTTTCGTTTCTTTCCAGGAAGCGAAACCAGGCAGACAAGTAGTCACAAAGGAGAAGGAAGACGAGGAGAATGAGGAGCTTTAGTTCAGACCCGCTCCAGCCCTGCGCTCGGTCTCAAACCGCGCAAGTCTTCAGTGGCCCCCGTTCTCCGCAGCCTTCCCTCTTTCCTCCCCCCGTCCCCTACCTTCCTCCCCCACTCTTGGGAGCCCCTCGTTGGAGCCTCTGCGGACTTCTTGGGTCCTGGGGGCCTGCTGGGAGCAGGCTTCAGGGCAGGTGGGGGCCAACTGGGGGCCGCCCGGGGGAAAAGAAACATTGGAAAGGAAACAAAGGAGGAGGAGCAGGAGGAGGAGCAGGAGGAGCAAGCGGATTGAAAGAGAATAAGTAGAAAAAGGAGCAGAAGAAGGAGGAGGAGGAGGAGGAGCAAGCGGATGAGGAGATGGATGATGATGATGAGGAGGAGGATGAGGAGGAGGAAGAGGAGGAGGAGGAGGAGGAGGAGGAGGAGGAGGAGGAGGAGGAGGAGGAGAGAGAGAAGGATGAGAAGAAGGAGGAGGAGAAGGAATAGGAAAAGGAAACAGAAGAGGAGGAGGAAGAGGAGCAGGTGGAGGAGGAGCAAGCGGATAAGGAAAACGAGAAAAAGGAGGAGGAGGAGGAGAAGGAGGAGGAGGAGGAGGAGGATCTCGAGGCCGTCAAGGGCGCAACGGTTCCGCCGAGCTCTCTGGAAGAGGCTCGATGGAGTCACATATTAGGGGGCGTCTTTTCGGGCGGGTTCTGAGGTCGCTTTGGGGCCCACGTGGGCCGTCTTGGTGGAAAAGCTCGGGGACCCAGAGTTTTAAATTTGAAACTCCGGAGTTTTGGGCTTCAAGCCCTCCACCCGAAGCTTACAAACCTCTGTCTCTGGTGCTTTGGGGTTACGTAGGAGCTCCAGAGCGCCAGGCGGCTTTTCAAAGGCCCCCCAAAACTCGAAAGGGCAGCCGCCAGAACTTTTGGGGGTCTCTTGGATAAGTTTTGGGCATCCTGGGCCCTCCAAGAGGCCGCGCGGGCCGCCGCGGTACAGGACCCACCTCTACCTCGTCACCTGGAAAGTCTGGCGGTTGACCGGCGTTCCTTCGACCAAGAATTTTGAGAAGGGCGCGAAGCGTATTGGGAGGCTTCTCGGGCAGGGCCATATGGGGTGCGTTTGAACCTTGAAAGCAGTTGCGATATAGTGTTTGTGTGTGTGTGCATGACACGTGCGTGCGCCATTCGCTGCCGTTTGACCCTCAAGGGCCCCCTTTTGCCAAGGCACAACAAGTATCATACATCACAGTGGCAGCGGAGCCTGCCATACGGTTTTCGGCGGCCGCACTGGCGCGCAGGACCCGTCTCTCTTCATAGAGGGTTCTTCACGATCAATTGTACTTGGTCAAGCAGTGACCCTGGCAAGGGGACTGTAGACTGTCTTGCTACGTGCCTACGCCATGGCACTGTCTTCTCTTCGTTGTCGACCAACATCTGATTCGCTGGCATGGTCAGAGACGAAGAGTGGTTCTTACATCTACGACGGTACTGTGCGCAACTTCCATGAGTGTGAATTCCGCACAGAGATGTGCATGAGTGCTGCGTTGGCCTCCGTTACTCTTGGAACGGGAAAGTCTCTGCCACGCGCTGTCACCGCAGCTGTCAGTAACGTGATAGAGGGCCTCAGAGGCAACGCGATCGATATAGCCATGGGTATCGGTGAAGACACGCTTCTGACTAAAACAGGCATCGACTTACCGATACACACGATGCGTACCTCGCTCTTCCCCATAGAGACTGAGGAAGCCAAGATCCTCTTCCAAGTAGGATTGAGACCCTGCGGGCCAACGTCTCGACAGTGCGGTCAGTCTATGCTCCGTGCATATCGCGCTGACAGCGCTTGTGGGAGCTTGTCTCTAAACTCTTCCCGAACCTCGTGATGGGTGACGATATGCTTGGATCTTATCTCTTGGACCATGCAGGACCCTCACCTACGGTGAATTGATGGTAATGTCACCAACTGGTAATGTGACCAGTTTCGGCACGGTCAAGGACGTCTTGGTCCTTCAATACGGTTGTATCCACACCCGACAAAAGTGCAAGGGAGATTCGGGTAAGAGCTCCACCCGCAATCACTCAGAGGACGCCCCGAAACCTTAGCAAGGGCAAGGGCAAGGCCAGATGCTCAAGGCTGCCACAGGCACACCGCGCTGCCGACGACAGCTGGCACGAGCAGGAGAAGCATTACCCTGAGGAGCTAGGCCCCTACGGCTATTGCGCGTCTGGCTACGCACCCCAGTACGGCTGGGACGACGAGTCTTGGTGGACGGACACCTCGGCAGGTGACTGGGCCCTCGGCGACGGCGACCCTCGCGCTCGCTGGACGTCCGCACTGCGCGGAGATGGACTTGACGCCCAGGCAATGGAGGAAATTGACAATTTCGGCAACGCGGAAGAAACAGTCTCTGAGATGATCCAGCCACATGGGCATGATCTGGCGGCCAGCTTTGGCGCCAAACGAA